GGCAGGCAGACACACAGACAGGCAAAAGGATGGACAGGAAGATGAACGGACAGACAGATGGACAATAAGACAGTCAGACAGATGGGCGGACGAATGGATAGACGGTCAGCTATGTTGACCTTATTCTAAAATGCGGAAGTGCGCCTGTTTTCGCGATTGTCTTAGAACTGCCGATTCAGTCGCCTAAGGGAGAAATGACTAGGAATAATAAATGGCAGAAAACGGTCAAACTACTTGCTCTACAAACAAAAGTTTGCATGACTATACAGACCAAGTAGAATAATATAATAAAAAATATCAAATAGCAACATCAAGCAGCGTAACGAGCAGTTTTTAACGTCAAAAAAATTAATGGAAGTGAATGAGACCGGAAGTCTCGAGCCAAAAAGATTCAAATGGCAGCGCCCACTCGTCTGCGGAAAATAAGGGTAATAGGCAGACAAACAAGACAGATGAATGGAAAGATGAACAATCAGACAAACGAAGTCGGACAGACTGACAGAAAAGCAGACAGAAATGAACAAATGGATTGAAAAACGGTCAGTCAGACAGACGGACAGATGAATGGACAGACAAAAGGATGGACAGGCAGGTGGACTGTCAGACAGACAGACGAACAAACGGACAGACAGAAGAATGGACAGGTAGACAAATAGACGGACAGATGAATGGACAGACAGAAGGATAGACAGGCAGGTGGACAGTCAGACAGACAGACGAACAAACGGACAGACAGAAGAATGGACAGGTAAACAAATAGACAGACAAACAGACAGACGAATGGACAGACAGAAGGATAGACAGGCAGGCAGACAAGCAGACAGACAGATGAACAAATGGACAAACAGAAGCATGGACAGGTAGACGGACAGATGAAAAGACAGACCAACAGACGAATGGACAGGTAGAGGAACAGACGTATGGACGAACTTACAGTCAGACAGCAAATGAAAAGACAGGCAGGCAATAAGACAGTCGGATGGATTGACGAATGGTCAGATGAATTAACAGACAGAAGGGCTGACAAGTAGAGGAATAGATGGATGGATGAGCGGACATTTAGACTGACAAATGGACGGACAGATGGTTGGACAGGCAGACGAAAAAACAGACAAATGGATGGACGAATGGACAGATTAAAGGACAAAGGAGTATGGACAGATAGACAGACGGATGGAGAAATGGACAGATGAATGGACAGAGACAAGGATGGACAGGAGGATGGACAGCCAGGCAGACAGAAGGATGGACAGGTAGCTGAACAGACAGATGGATGGATGAATGGACAGTTAGACAGACAAATAGACGGATCATTGGACAAACAGACATGGGCAGTGAGACAGACAGGCAGACAAACAGACAGATAGATGGATGCAGGGATGAATGAACAGACGGAAAGATAGACGAATGGACGAACGGACAGACAGAAGGATGAACAGGCAGACAGATAGACAGATGGATGGAGAAACGGACAGATGAATAGACAGAGAGAAGGATGGACAGGCAGACGGACAGACAGAAGGATGGGCAGGTAGACAAACAGACAGATGGATGGGCGAACGAACAAGACAGATAGACAGACAAATAGCTCAACAGACAAACAGACATACAGGCAGTGAGACAGACAGACAGACAGATAGATGGAAGGACAGACGAATGAACAGAGAGAAAGTTGAACAGGCACAGACAGAAAGACAGACGGATGCATGTATGGAGAGTTAGACAGATGGACAGACAAATAGACAGATCACTGGACAAACAGACATACGGGCAGTGAGACAGACAGACAAATAGATAGATGGATGGACAGATGAATAAACAGACAGACAGACAGATAGATAGATGGCTGGAGAAACGGACAGATGAATAGACAGAGAAGGATGGACAGGCAGACAGATGGATGGATGGATGGGTGAACGGACAATCAGACAGATAGACAGACAAATAGCTCAACAGAAAAACAGACATACAGCTAGTGAGACAGACAGACAGATAGATGGACGAACAGACGAATGAACAGAGAAGGTTGAAGAGGCAGACGGATTGACAAAGACAGACGGATGCATGAACGGACAGTCAGACAGATGTGCAGACAATTAGACAGATCGATAAACAAACAGATATACGGACAGTCAGACAGACAGGTGGACAAAGAGACAGACAAACAAACAGACAGACAGATTGACAGACAAATAGACAGATGGATGGACAGACAGACGGAAAGATGAATGGATGAACAGACATAAGGACACTGAGACAGACAGGTGGACAAACAGACAGACAGACTCATAGACAGATTAACAGACATACGGACAGTCAGACAGGTGGGCAGACAGACAAATGAACAGACAGATTGAGAGACAAATAAACAGAGACGGACAGACAGACAGACAAACATTAGGATGACAGACAGCCAGATTTATGGAAAGGAAGACAAATCGAGAGAGAGAGAGACAGACAGACAGACAGACAGACAGACAGACAGACAGGCGGACAAACTCCAGTAAGTGTTGCTAGTCTCATTATCTGGTGTTATGTCCCACACCCAGCAGTGTCTACTTTGAAACCAGCTTATCTCTGCAATGAACCAAAGTACAGCAGAAATGTGGCCAAGCGCACACACACACACACACACACACACCCTGTGCAGCAAGGCCTATTTACAGTCTGTCTTTTTTATATCACGGCTCTGAACAGCAGTAGCTTGTGCAGACCTGCTCCTTTTTCAGGATGAGAAGGAAAAAGTGAGAGAAGGGTAAATACATACTCTTAAGAGCACTTGCTCAAATATATATACCACCACAGCTGGAAAGAAACACACATCATATATTCTCAGCCCATCCTTGTGATCTACACTGGAAAAAAATCCATACAAGACTAACATCTGTATTCATTTTATGCGGAAAAATTGAAAACCCCTATACAAGTCAACTGAATGACCATTCAGAAGATGGCGGAAGATGGACAAATAAATAAAAAAATAAAACAAACTTGCCTTCCGTGGTTTCTTTACACCTATTTAAAACTACATACTGTAAATATCAACACACCATCCTAGCAGACACACAACACCTTAAGATGTTAATGTTAGGTTAGATTTAGGTCGCCAGTGTCCAAGGATAAAGTTTTTTCGATGTCCAATAATGACGTGAAATGATGTTGATATTTTGGTGATTTTAGGTAGTGTTGGAAAGTGACCAAAATCCAACGTCGAGCCAACATCTTAAACCAACGCCATATTGAAATATAAATGCTGATATTTATTTGTCAGGTATGGCAACCAAAATCCGTCATCTGCTAGACGTCATATTTGATCACGTCTACACAACGTCAAGCTGATCATTAGATGATGATATTTGGTTGATTTTAAGTTGTGTTGGAAAGTGGCCAAAATCCAACATCTTAAACTAACGTCATATTGACACCAAATACTGATATTTATTCGTCAGGTTCGTCAGATAAAATCCGTCATCTGATAAATGTCATATTGGTCACGTCCACACAACATCAAGCTGTAACATCATTAGATGTTGATATTTGGTTGATTTTAGGTTGTGTTGGAAAGTAACCCAAATGCGGTTGTTGCAAGATCAGATATGGATGTGACTAAAAGTTAACGAGAACAATTTATATTATTTAATTAATTTCCCATTAGTTGTATTTTATTAACATCTACCCCTACCCCGACTCTTAACCCAACTGTCACAGTACTGTAAAAATATTAATCATAATATTAATCAAAATGCTGCTGTATTGATGTGCATGTCACACTTCCGTCCGGCTGCATATCCAATCTAGACTTTACCACAAAATTCAACGTTCGACAAAGTCAATCTGACGTCATGTTGATATCTTGTGCCTGCTGGGATCATTTAAAAGGTCTGGTAGGATATTTTAAGGTTTGTATGAAATATTACAGTCTAAAATAACATTTTTCAGTGTATGATTTAAAATATATATTATTACTCTTTTAACATCAGATTTCAGTGTCACATGATCAAGAAGCATTTTAATCATCAATGTTGAGAACATCTTTCTGATCATACACTGTAAAAAAATCATTGCTGCCTTTTTTTGTTAAAACCAATTAACCGTTTTAGTCATCTCGACTTGTAGCAATCAAACTGACTAAAATATCAAGTTAAACGTTGCAAAACTTAAAAAAAAGTAGTTGAAACCTGATTAACTTTTTAAAATAAGTTAAAGTAACATAAAAAAATTTGTAGTCATGACCTTTTATGTTACATCCTTTTATACAGTGTAGGCATTTTTCCCTAAATGGTATTAAAAGGGGTGTGGTTGTGGAGTGGGTGTGGCTTTAGAGTGGGTGTGGCTCTGATATTGATTACAGAGGATGATATTTTTCTTCATTTGTCCCGTATTTTAGATGACAGGAGCTTGACTAATGTGTGTTTAACAGCACATATTAAATCTGGGGTTTATGATAAAACATCAGCATATTCTTCTCCACATACAGTTGAAGTCAGAATTATTAGCCCCCCTGTATATTTTTTCAGCAATTTCTGTTTAACGGAGAGCAGATTGTTTTTAACACATTTCTAAACAATAGTTTTAATAACTCATTTCTAATAACTGATTTATTTTATATTTGCCATGATGACAGTAAATAGTATTTGACCAGATATTTTTCAAGACACTTCTATACAGCTTAAAAAGAAATTTAAAGGCTTTTAACTAGATTAATTAGGCAAGTAAGGGAAAGTAGGCAAGATAACGATGGTTTGATGGACAATCAAAAACAAATATTACTTAAGGGGGCTAATAATATTGTCCTTAAAATGGTTTAAAACTGCTTTTATTGTAGCCGAAAGACAACAAATAAGACTTTCCCCAAAAGAAAATATATTATAGGAAATACCGTAAAAAAATCCTAGCTCTGTTAAAAAAAAAAAAAAAAAAAAAAACAGAAGGACAAATAATTTTGACTTTAACTGTATATATAAGTGATGTTACAGAATGCATTTTTTTTTTTGCTGTACCTTGACAGTGCGGTGCTGTTTTTTGGAGGGGTGGCAGCGCATGTTTCCGGTGTTGCAGCAGCCGGTGCAGCGCTTCACCTCCACACAAGGAGGCCAGATAAGGAAGTTTGCAGCAGTGGGATCCACTTGACTGCGGGGGATCTCGTAGATCACCGTCCGGGTCTTGCACATGGCAGGGACCGCCTCCTCTACTAGATTCAACAAATAGGTAAATGAATAAGTTAGACTTTCATCATTGCAAAGAGTATTCAAAATATAGCTTTTTTATAATTAGCACATGCATATTCGCATGAAACAACATAAAGTAAAAATCACATGGTATGTGTCCCTAAACAATAAATAAACAATAATAATAATAAAAATCACGTAATAAAATGTAAAATAATGATAAAACAGCCGATAGCAGGTGGTGACGTGTTGACACATAACACAGAGTTACTCACGGTGACCCGAGTTCGTTTTATTATGAATTTAAAAAATGATAATAATTATAAGATATATTTTAATAATAATAAAAATTAAATATCTTGGCAAAGGAAACTAAATAAATCAATAAAATTCACATGGAAGGTGAAAATACTAAGAACTAAAAACAAACTAAAGAATTAAGCTAAAACAAAACTAAATTAGACGATGAATAATAACAAATAAATAAAATAAACTATAGCACATTAAAAAAAACAAAAGCTAGGAACACAACATGACAACACAAACAAAATAATTTTGAAAAATTACCATTTAAAATTAAATACCAAAACACCAGATTTCAAGAGTCCACACTTAGCACCTGGCCCATTAACCTTTCCTGCTAGTTATCAAACTGTTTCATAACTGTATCAAGAGGCAATTCAATCATAACTTAACGTTAAAAGAGCTATTATAACATTATTCATCAATATGTGGCCCTTTTTGCATTCCAGGAAGTTCTAGAAATTTAAAATAGGAAACACGTTGGGAACATTGTTTTTGTTTACATCCCTCAAAATGGTCTATACAGCAGAAAAAGAGGTGTGACAAAGGAGTTTTTCACTGGCCTGCGGCAGAGCTGCACACCCACGTATTCACACACACACACACACACACACACACACACACACACACACACACACACACACACACACACACACACACACACACACACACACACACACACACACACACACACACACACTCCAGATGAGGTAGGTCTCAAGACCTCCCTTTGGTAAAGGAGAAAGGGGGGGAATTCTTCCACAAAAATAAAATATATTTATAAAATGTGAGCCTGGACCACAAAGTTGCATTTATATATATATTCATAGCTTTCGCCCAAAAAAATTGTATGTTTTATATATATATATATATATATATATATATATATATATATAGTATTAGCGTACTATATAGGATTTTGGAAGCCTTGGTGTGCCTTCAGAAACGGGGTTGGGAAACACTGGTATATATCCCCTTATACATCCCCCAAATGCAGATTAAATAAGATTTCTACTGATGTATGACTGAGTTACAACTAGTAAAATTAAAAATCTAAGGGTTAAAAACATTCTAAATACTGATAAAATCACCTTTTATTTATTGTATGAATTATTTGTATTAATTTTATTAATATTAATTGTATTAATTATTTTGAATAAAGTAAATTAGTAATCAAAATGCTAATATTGATCAATGAAATCAATGCAAATTGCTAACCAGAATTGGAGATTTGGTATATTTACAATAGGAAATTTACAATAAGATGTCCATGGAACATGTTCTTTGCCTAATATTATTATATTATATATTTACTTAATATCCTATTGTAAATATACCAAATCTCCAATTCTGGTTTGCAATCTGCGCCCAAAATCCTATATAGTACGCTAAAATCAGTATGCGAGCCGGAAAGTATGTACGAATTTATAGAATTCTAAACACAGTATGTCAGAAGTTCGTGGATGACCTACTACTTCCGGACAGTTTCTGAAGTGCGCATCCGATGGACCCTACGCTATCCCATAATGCACAATGAGAGAATTTATGAATAGGAGTGAATCGATGACGTGGATAGGTCAGGTGATCGTGACAAAATGGCGGATTGAGTTCCATTCATACTACTGACATTTATACTGTACAGAATGTACATTTCTAACGGCCTAGTAGTAAACTCAAATTCAAATGCAGTACCTACTGAATAGTAGTAGTAGATTTCGAACGCAGCCCAACAACTACACATTTTCAAACTCTAATCAAACACACCTGAATCAAATCATTATAAGAAACTCCAAAACCTGAAACGAAGGGTTCAGATAAAGGAGACCTATGAAAGATATACTGCTGGTGTGCCAACAGGTTTGGGAAACACTGATATAGTACATAGCAATTTCCAAAGACTATCACTTATGACTGGTTTTGGGGTCCAAGGTCACAAATTTATGCTGCATTAATATGATAATCATTTCATTCTATGCCATTACCAGTGGTTTAACATGAATCTACAGTATTAATTAGCAAGTAATCGCACATTAAAAACCAAATCGCTCAAACTGACCACCATTTTTCAGTTTATTTCAGACAGCCATAGACCTAAAACATTTGCCACTGTGCTTTTTTTCTGTAACTGATGCCATCTTGTTAAACAAACAGCCCCTTAAACCTGCATGAGTGGCAAATATTAAAGAGGGTTTTTAATATCTCTGAGCCTCTGTATTTACTGAGCCCGAAATAAGACAGACCGCATCGCTTCCATCTCCTCCTCCAGCCTCTTTCAGAGCAACAGTAGTAAAATAATGGCACACGGTTTACTCTGAGGCCTGATGGGATGATGAGGGGTCTGAAACTCCACACACGCACACACAGAAAGGAAAGGATGTCAGATCTGTGTGTGCCAGTCTGAACTCTGCTCAGTTCAACGAGCTGCGACATGAACTCCGAATGTCTGGAATTTCCTGGCTCGGATGCGTTTGTGACCTCAGCAAGTCCCGCCAATCAAAATACTCTCACGTACAGTCTAATAAAGAGATGCCCGCTGATCACTGCGCTGCTTTCATGGAGAAACACTGGCGTTCCCTGCTTTAATGTGCTCAGAGGTGGAACTGCCGTTTATGTAATTAAAAAAACCCGAACACTTTATAAAAGGGATAGTTCACGCAAAAATGAAAATGGACTCAACATTTACTTGTGATTCCAAACGTTTTTCTGTTTCTTTCTCATGTTGAACACAAAAGATGGTATTTTAGAGAATGTTTGGAGAACCTGTAACCATTGACTTGCGTAGTATGAAAAGCAAATTCAATGGAAGTTTCCAACATTCTTCAAAATATCTTCTTTTGTGTTCAACTGTAGAAAGAAACTAATAAAAGTGCAGCGAGTAAATGATGACAGAATTTTCATTTTTGCATAAACTATACTTTTAAGAGAGTTTTGAGTATCTAATCTGTTCAATTGATTCAATTACGTGGAACATTTTAGAATAAGTTGTTTAAATGCACCATTGGATGATTTAATAAATATGTGTAATCTTTGAATTGCAATAGATGGGTTACTGATTAATCATTGCATTTTAGTTGATTTCCACAGCAAATTAAATGACAAAACAGGATTTTATATACCTAGAAAGCATAATAATTGCATGCAAAGTGTCAATGTTTCATGCATCTTGTGTAAAAATATAGTGTCAAAATATATGTATTATTCAATTTGCAGGACAGTTCCAAAAATTGAGGTATTGCAATTTTTGTATTATGTTTTATTGTTTGAGTTATTACAAATTTTCATTAATTACTCACTGGCAGGGCCAGATTGGCTGATGGGGTAAATGCCGAAGCATGCTAATAGGACTTTTAATTTGCCAGTAACCTGGGTTAAGCGCTTCCGGCGAACTGTATGCCAATGCAATATCCGGTGCGTTTAAGGTCTGTTTTCTTTAAAAATCAGCGATCTCCACTGGCTGAGTGATATCCGATTTAAAGTGGGTCTCAGATTGTACAAGAAGCACTGCATTAAATTACATTTCCCCCACCATATCTTTATAATATGAGCATTTATTTTACCCCAGTATATTCAATGGAGCTTCTGCGTTAGCCTAGATCTCTCTCTTTTGTGTGTTGTGGTGCTGTATTTATACCATAGTAATTGTAGTGTATTCAATTTATTTCATGTTTATTTCTATAGAGCTTTTACAATGTAGATTGCGTCAAAGCAGCCTAACATAGAAGTTCTAGTAAATTAAAACTGTGTCAGTCCAGTAAGATGAGCGTTATTTCCTGCCTGATCTCTTGTGTATAACTCCAGCCCGTTTCTGACTCTGCTTCGCCTTCTGCCTGCCCACAACCAAAGCCTGATACACGGATTCTCGCTACCTGCCTTTGACCCATGCCTGGTAAATCACTCTGTGCCTGTTTGCCGCCAGCCTTGAGACCTTTACTGCTACTATTGATGTGTGTTTGCACCTTTGTGCATATTGTTTGTTAAAGTGAGAGTGTGATTGATAAATACTGCATAATGGATCCCTCCGTGTCAGTCTCCTCGTTACAATATTTATGTTACATGAGTATGTTTTTGTCAGTAACGAAAAACACATTGTTTGTGTCAGAATTTTTTTCTTTAATGCCAAAAATAATTAGTATATTAAATAAAAATCATGTTTCATAAAAAATATATTGTACATTCCCACTGTAAATATATATAAAAATAAGTATATTAAAACTCTAGTTTGATTAGTAAGGTGCTAAATAAATGCAGCCCAAAAAATCCGACTCCAAAATCCTGAATTTGTTGCCCATGTTCTGTTTATAGCCTGGTTGTTGCTATGTGACTGATTATTATTATGTTGCACGAATGCAAGATATCCTAAAGTGACACATTATATAACAGCAATAGTAAATCTATTATCAATGACGTGCCATAAATGAAGAATCCTCCAGCCGAGCCAGAACAGTGAAACTGTTTACGATTGCCAAGCAACATCAGAATTCATCACACATGACCCTGGATCACAAAACCAGTCATACGCGAGTGCTCATTTTTGGAAGCTGAGATTTATGTATAACTTATTTGAAAGCTGGATAAATAGTATTTCCACGGATGTATAGTTTGTTGGGTTAGGACAATATTTGGCCGAAGATACAACTTTTAAAATATCTGGAATCTGAGAGGTCCAAAAATATATATAATCTAGTATAGAATATATAAATGATGAGAAAATCATCATTAAAGTTGCACAAAATTAAGTTCTTAGGAATTTATATTACTAATAAAAATTGATTTGATATTTTTTCAACAGGAGATTTATGAAATATCCTCATGGAACATGAGTTTTACTTAATATTCTTATGATTTTCGGAATAAAAAAAAAATCAAACATTTTGTAGGTTGTAATTTTTTGTGCAATATTTTACTTGAATTTAATTATATTATCTTTCAGTTTGTAAATATGTTTGGTGACTAAAATATTATTTTAATAAATATATCTGTTTAATAAATCTGTTTTGTTTAAATGCACCAAAATACATGACCTATATTCACAAAAAAATGGAGAAAAATATATATTTTCAAAATGGGGTGTAGTCAGTTATGCTGAGCACTGCATGTTAAATGCAAAAATACAACTTTATTAGTTTTATTAGTTATTTTTAATTTAAAAAATTGTGGGGGAGATGTGGTGGCGTAGTGAGTAGCACAATCACCTCACAGCAAGAAAGTCTCTGATTTGAGCCTCGGCTGGCTGGAATTTCTGTGTGTAGTTTGCATGTTCCCCCCGTGTTCGTGTGGGTTTCCTCTGGGTGCTCCGGTTTCCTCCACATATCCAAAGACATGTACTAAAGGTTAATTGGGCAAGCTAAATTGGCCGTATGTGTGTGATTGAGTGTGCATGTATGGGTGTTTTCCAGTGTGGGTGTTTTCCTGTGTGGAGTTTGCATGTTCTCCCCATGTTGGCGTGGATTTCCTCCTGGTGTTCTGGTTTCCCCCACAGTCCAAGGATATGCGCTATAGGTGAATTGAATTAAATAAATTGTCCGTAGTGTATGAGTGTGTGTGTGTGTGTGTGATTGTGTGCATGGGTGTTTTCCAGTACTGGGTTGTGGCTGGAAGGGCATCCGCTGTGTCAAACATACGCTGGAATAGTTGGTAGTTTAGTCCGCTGTGGCAACCCCTCATTAATAAAGGGACTAAGCCAAAGGAAAATGAATGAACGAATGAATATTTGTGACTTTTCGTTTGAATGCGCAAGTATACTTTACTAAGAAATTCATATCAATAATGGTTTTTGTAAGTTTCATTAAAATTTACTTCAGTTAAACTCACGCAATGGGATTTTTTAAGTGGTACACCAGATTAACATGTGACACTGTCCAAATTCAGTCATTTGGTGCTGTGATGAACAGCAATGCTGATTCAACAATTTAGGTATTCATAAAAAGCTCTCTAAAAGTTGAAATAATAAACAATTATTCATAGTATTTTGAAGTGCCCACGATAACGATATTACGCAAATCACTATCACAATATATATCAAATTATTGAATACATTCATTCATTCGACCAGTTTTCTTGAGGTTAGTCCTTGTTTTATCAGGGGTCACCACAGCGGAATGAACGGCCAACTATTCCGGCATTTGTTTTACACAGTGATGCCCTCCTAGCCGCAACCCATTACTGGGAAACTATTGAAATATAGTTGAATTCACAATTGAGCTGAAGTTTCTTTTATAAATATTTTCTAAATGATGTTTAACAGATCAAGAACATTTTCGCAGTATTTCCAACAATACTTATCCTTCTGGGGAAAGTCTTAGTTGTTTTATTTTGACCAAAATAAAAGCAGTAGTTTTCAATAAAAAAAAAAAAAACATTTTAAGGTCAATATTATTAAGCAATATTGTTTAGATTGTCTACAGACAGAAAAACAAGACTGGTAAACAATAACTTGTCTAGTTACCCTAATTAACCGGGTCCCCCGGTTTCCTCCCACCATCCAAAAACATGCAACTTAAGTTCATTGACTAATCCAAATCGGCACCATAGACATGCTCCTAGTAAGTAGTTATCTCTTAAGAGCAATCACTATCTGTTCATTAGCTACTACAGCAGGGGAGTTCTCGAGATCTACCTGAGCTCAAACTCTCCTTGCAAACGGGAGGGAGCCCCGGGCTCCAGGATCTTATGAGCTCAGGGCTCTCTCCCGGGACAGCATGCCAAACAAGCTTTAACATCCATCATCAGCTAAGTGTGAACTCTTGAAACAGGAATTGAGGAAAACATTTAACAGAAGAAGTCATAATTCTTACTTATAAAGTACAAACAAAGTCAGATTTTGTGGTCCAGGATCACAAATCACCAGACAAAAGGGCTGATTTCTGAAATAAACAGCAGGTTATGAAGAGTGCTTATTTTGATATCGTCTTACCAACGCTCCTCTTCCGCCGATGGGACAGCTGTCGGCTCTTCAGATCGGAGGCGAAGCTCTTGTATGAATGCTGGCTCTTCTGATGGTGCTTCTGCTTGACCTCCTCAATCACCTCATTTCCAGGACCTCCAGAGAAACACAGGTTACCCGACATTACTTTCATGTTACTCAGCGGAAAAAAAAGACAAATCACTTTCCCCCCATTTTATGAATCCACAATGCGTCTATTGAAAAGTCTTCAGAGATGCCCTGCAGCCTCCAGAGGCGAAATGGCACTGGCGTGAGTGGCACCAAAGCATGAAATAATTTCCTTCTTCAGAAACTCTTTTTTCCTCAAACAATGACCGCTTTATGCACGGGCTTAATTGGAAATTCATCACGATGGATTTCTGGAGGAACTATGTCATGCTGGGGCCGAAACGCGCTTGCCAAGTTTATTATAAAGTCTAACGTTGACGTGTCTAAAGAACAAATGTGAACTCTTGACAACCTCAGTGAGTTTTCTTTCTTTTTTTTTTTTTTTTGCTGCTGCTGGTTATGAATGAGTGAGAAAACCATTTGAGAGTGTTTGAAGAAGAGGCGGGACTGCCTGACGCATGAATACCACATCAGTTCGGTTATTATTAAGTGCTGTTTAAACAACTGGTGTTGAAGGTATTCTAAAAAGTGGAGGGAATTAATATTGAGACGTAATCGAGGATAAAGAGAGCGCTGACTGATATATATATACACTGTAAAAAAATGATTCATGACAACAAATGCTACTTTAAATGTTACTTTAAACTTAATTTAATAAGTTATTCAGGGTAAATCAAGCTAAATTCTTTAGCTATACAAAGTTTAAAGCAGTGGTGACCTACAATGTTCCTGTGGATCTTCCTTCCTGCAGATTTCAGTTGCAACCCATAACAAACACACCTGCCTGTAATTATCAAGTGCTGTTCAGGTCCTAATTAATCAGTTCAGGTGTGTTTAATCAGAGTTGGAGCTGAACTCTGCAGGAAGGTAGATCCACAGGAACAGGGTTGAGCACCCCTGCTTTAACCTGATATTTTTAGTTGGTTTGACTGATTTAATTTGAGATGAGTAGAAAAGTTAATTTGATGTTATATTTTGATGTTAAATATGTTATTTGATTGATAATTTAACTAAAAGTATTTTTACAGTGTAGCTGAGGACAAAATTATTAAACCTTCAGAGAAATTTGGGTTATCCCTGCTGAAAAATCCCACTTAAACCAGCCTAGGCTGGTTTAAGCTGGATTTTTCGGCAGGGATTTCTCTAATATTTTCGAAGTTCTGTTTAACAGAGATACTTTTTCCAACACGTTTTTAAACATAGTGATTTTAATATAACATGCTTTCTATGAATAATGAAGATCATTATTGAATTAAAAAAAGCTTCCTGAAAACCAGTCCCTGAAACATGTCAAAATAATTTACTTTAATTTCTACAGATCACAGCTAATTTCATTTTTTTTTTCATGGCAAAGAGCATTCAAGTATTTCAAGTGTTTATATTATATGATTTATGGCATGTTACAACATATATAAAATATGATATCAATGAAAATAATAAACAAAACATGCCTGCATGATTGGCATATAAAAACTAACCAAGTTAGCTTTGTATTGATATACAAAAATAGCTACTACAGATTATAAATAAATGAAATAATTTATATAATGTAAAAGTAATATATGCCATATAAGTTTTTTATATGGAAAAACCCAACACTTGTGTTTAAAAATGTTCATTTAAATGTGAATAAAGTAATTAATGTTGATATCTGAGTCAGTGTTGTGTTAATAGAATCTTGCTTTTATTTTTCAACATGTATCAATAAATTAATATTAACATTCTACATGTAAAAACTGTTTAATCATAACAAAATACTATATAATAATAATAATTATAAATATTACAGCTGTGAAGAAATTTAAGAGACCACCTAGAAATTTCTCTGCATTTGCGATTTATTTACAATTTATTTATGGATGATTTATTCATTCGGTTTGTATTATTTGTTTATAAATAAGAAATCAATAATTTGGTGGAATATCCCTGCAAAATAAGCGAAAATAATCATATATCTAACTAATTAACTATACAACCATAACTAATGAAAAGCCAGTCTGCTTGTTATCTGACTGTGCTTCAATAGCTGGCTTTAGCTTCAGCAGTGGAGTTAAACATCAAACCATGTAACATGGGAATGTGCAGGCAAACACACTCTCTGAACTGAGACTGCATGACCACACGCAGACCAGCAGCAGGAAACACAAGTGACATGTCAACAAAAGCCCTGTCTCATCTTTCCTACAAATGGACGGCCATTGTTTTGAAGCTGTTTTTCAGACTCAGTCAAAAAGTAAGCGTTGACCCACAGAGAGAGAGAGAGAGAGAGAGAGAGAGAGAGAAAGAGGGGGAGAAAGAGAGAGAGAACTACTGCACTATGAACATTACCACAACGTTAGATCAATGAACTTCCAACAACTCTGCCGTATGTTTTATGTTTTAAGCCACAACTCAGCATGAGTGTACACTAACTCATGAATGTCACCTAATTTTAAACCAATTGATCATCTTGTTCAACACCTATAACCACATTAAAACACCAACTTACATGAAACCCAGTTCCATTATCTGTTAGGCTGTACTACAAATTCAACTTTTATTCTAACTGCCACCAAACACTAAAACCACGCCTCAGGATCAACAATAGCCCTCGATTTGTCCTCAATTTCCATTTGGCCACATCATTTAAAAAAAAAAATAAAATCTGTAGCTTTTAAGTAATTCAATAAACTCTCTTTCTCGATAGATGGATGGATGGATGGATATGACAGATAGATAGGATAGATGGATGGATGGATGGATGGATGGATAGGATGGATGGAAAGATGGATGGTAGATACGACAGATAGATACTATAGATACGATGGATGGATGGATGGATGGATAGATACGACAGATAGATACTATAGATACGATGGATGGATGGATGGGTAGATATGACAGATAGATACTATAAATATGATGGATGGATGGATAGATACTATAGATATGATGGATGGATGGAAAGATAGGTAGATACGACAGATAGATATAATGGATGGATGGATGGATGGATGGATAGATACTATAGATAGGGTGGATGGATGGATGGATGGATGGATGGATGGATGGATGGATGGATGGATATGACAGATAGATACTATTGATACGATGGATGGATGGATGGAAAGATGGATTGATGGATGGATGGATGGATAGATACGACAGATAGATACTATAGATACGATGGATGGATGGATGGTAGATATGACAGATAGATACTATAAATATGATGGATGGATAAAAAGATGGATGGATGGATGGATAGATACTATAGATATGATGGATGGATGGAAAGATAGGTAGATACGACAGATAGATATAATGGATGGATGGATGGATGGATAGATACTATAGATAGGATGGATGGATGGATGGATGGATGGATGGATGGATGGATGGATATGACAGATAGATACTATTGATACGATGGATGGATGGATGGATGGAAAGATGGATTGATGGATGGATGGATGGATAGATACGACAGATAGATACTATAGATACGATGGATGGATGGATGGATGGATGGATGGATGGATGGATGGATGGATGGATGGATGGATGGATACAACAGATAGATACGATGGATGGATGGATGAAAAGATGGATGGATGGATAGATACTATAGATATGATGGATGGAAAGATGGATGGATGGAAAGATAGGTAGATACGACAGATAGATACGATGGATGGATGGATAGATATTCGGATAGACAAACAGTTTGAATTCCTACGTTTAATGTTATATGTCTTTAACATCTCTTTTTAAATAAATAACGAGAGAGAGAGTCTGAGTGAGTGAGAGAGAGAGAGAGAGAGAGAGAGAGAGAGGGAGAGAAGAGAGTGTGTGTGTGTTCAGCAATTCATCCTTATCTGGTGTTCACATCAAAACTCACTGTTATGATGGCAAACACGAGTACTTTGTTCTCTCCAACTCAAAAACAGCAGATGATCATCTGGCAGAAAGCACTAGTGTCCAGACACACTGAAAGCAGCGGAGCAGGAGAAGCACAACAAGGAAACTGAACAAAACAGGCATCATGTTCAAAGCTGGATGTGAAATCAGATCTGATCTACCGTGGAGAGAGATTTAAAGAGACAGATCAACCAAAGATTAAAATTCTGTCATTATTTACTCACCCTTGACTTGAACGCAGAAGATATTTTGAAAAATGATGGAAACATGTAACAATTGACTTTCATAGTAATTGTTTTTTCCTGGATGTCAATGAAATGATCCATGTTTTCAACATTCTTTAAAATATCTTCTTTTAAAGAATAAAGAAATAAGAACTAATAATGTTTTAGAGCAAATAGTGAGTCAATTTTCCTTTTAGCGTGAACTATCACTTTAACTGGACATAAGATTATGGATTTTTTCTTATGGGTTTATTAAAGTTATTTGGGTTTGACAGTGATAAAAAATGTAAAAGATAAATGTTATTAAATGCACTTAAACATTAAAAGCAGAAGTCTGCATATATACTGATATACACTCACAGGCCACATTATTAAGTACACCTGTCCAACTGCTCGTTAACACAAAGGTATGCAGAAGAGAATTTCTGAATGCACAACATGTCGAACCTTGTGGCAGATGGGCTACAGTAGCAGAAGACCACACCGGGTGCCACTCCTGTCAGCTAAGAACAGAAAACTGAGGCAACAATTCGCACAGGCTCACCAAAACTAGACAATAGAAGACTGGATAAACATTGCCTGGTCTGATGAATCTCAATTTCTGCTGCGACATTCGGATGGTGGGGTCAGAATTTGGTGTCAACAACATGAAAGCATGGATCCATCCCACCTTGTATCAACGGTTCAGGCTGGTGGTGGTTGTGTAATGGTGTGGGCATGCTTTCTTGGCACACTATGGGCCCATTAGTACCAATAAGCATTGTGTCACACAATGTGACACATTGTGTTCAGGTAGGCTAAAACACACATTTTAGTCTGAGTATTGTCGCTGGCCATGTCCATCTTTTTATGACCACAGTGTAC